CCGCCCTGATGCTTGCAGCTGAGGATGGCCACTTGGAAGTGGTGCAGTTGTTGCTCGAGGCTGGAGCTGACAAGAATGCAGCAACGCAAGACGGGACAACCGCACTGATGGCTGCAGCTGAGAATGGCCACTTGGATGTGGCGCGGGTGTTGGTCGAGGCTGGAGCTGAAAGAATGCAGCAAAACAAAACGGGGCAACCGCCCTGATGCTTGCAGCTTTCAAAGGCCACTTGGCAGTGGTGCGGGTGTTGGTCGAGGCTGGAGCTGACAAGAATGCAGCAAAGCAAAACGGGGCAACCGCCTTGATGATTGCAGCTTTCAAAGGCCACTTGGATGTGGCGCGGGTGTTGGTCGAGGCTGGAGCTGACAAGAATGCAGCAAAACAAGACGGGGCAACCGCCTTGATGAGTGCAACTCAGAATGGTAAATGGAAGCGCCGCAATTGCTCCGCTGAGAGAGTGCCGGAGTGAAATGGCAGCTGCTCAGCCGTCCCTGAAGTTCCGAAATCGCCAAATAAAAGGTAACTGGACTTCTATTCCAAACTTCATCCAGCATCCATCAATCCCAACTTTTCCCAAATTAGTAACAAGTGCATCGCTACTAGTAAGAAGGGCATTACTACAAATAACAAGAAGCTAAGTCGTCCCTATACAACCTTGAAACGGCCGCCTTGGCCCAGTCCGTCGTCCCCCGTTCGAAGAACCCGTTGGTTCGACGGTTTCCACGGTCCGGGCGATCGGCGGCGACGTCCAGGTGAGGATTTTCGAACTCGGGCGAAAGTTCCAGGAACAGGTGCTGCCCGGACCGGTGGGGCGCACGGTCCGCCACGGTGTCACACGAGTGCGGGCGCGTCGAAGGTGACGCAGAGCCACGCCACGCGAAGTTCGCTGGTTTGTGGGCAGTGCTGGGAGCAGTTTTGGGGTTTGGTCGCTGGCAAGTAGTACGTGTATGTATGTGTATAGGATTTATATATTGGGCATAGGGTAGTTTTATAGGACGTCAGTTTTTTCTGGGCTATAGGTGTGCAAACGGGGTGATGGTGCTATGCGTGTTGGCGTTTCTTTTTGTGCGGAGGTCAAGGGTGTGCGTTGGTCACTGGTTTTGATGGTATGAGGTAAGATTTATTAACGTGCCAATATCGAGCTTGGCGGCTCATTTCAGTACAGTGCAGTAGGCTATCAGCAAATAGTCCAGCACTTTGCCAGGTTGGTATTGATGCGGGTTGTTTGGTTTGCCCTCTCAGCTTGTTGCATCACCAGATCAGGGCCAGGATACGTCTTCGGCCCATTCTCACAAGGAGTTGGTGAACTGTTGATCAAAATCCTAAAGTTTTTGGCGACTGTTCCAAGTGTGCTTTGCTGACAACAATGACATGCTGCATAGGACCATTTGAGCGTTTGACATCCAACGCCAAAAGATTTGACATGGAAAGCTAAGGACATCAACTAAACTTGGATAAAAGTGATTTGATCATCTATACCTTTGAGGCAGATCTTTGCACCTTCCTTGCCCCCCCCAAAACATGGGTCCTTGCCTGCAAGGCGGTCCGCTCAACCGCCACCCCCGCGCCACACCGCAGCCGCCTGGGTGGTGTGCGCCACGGCAAGGCTCAATGCTTCCACCAAGCCACCATGCTCCCGGGGGTCAAGCGCACCGACCGGGAAGGACTTTCGGCGACACGTCGGTGCCGAAGGATGGAGGCCTGGAGCCTGGGGGAGGCCATGTCGGCACGCATGGAGACCGTCGCAGGGCACAGAAGAGTGCATCCGGCAGGGTTTAGAGCTCACTTCGAATATACTGATCTAACCTGCCGTTCGCCTGTACTGATGCTTGAACAAACTTGAGCAAACAGGGCATGTCGTGGCTTGAGAGTTCAGTCCTTGCATGTCGTTACCCCTTTTCGTGCAGCACAGCACAGCTGGGGGTATGCCCTGAGGTAAAGTATATCCTGAGGGGTGCTGAATGGTGTTGATCACGGGCGGCTTTGATTGAACAACCCTTTGCGATACATCCACATGCTGTCCACATGTTCTGTCATGTTTTGTTCACTCTGGTAGCTTTCTTTTGGTAGACACCACTGGTTGTGTTTGGTGCGAGTCAGGGTGTTCACAATCCCCCATCTATGCCCTAGGCTTTGCCAAGTGACCAGTGCATCCAAGCAACTCGCCACACCAGAACCTTCTTCCGCCTCGGCGCGGAGAGGATCCATCAAATCCTTCAAAGCTTGGGTCGAGCGGGTGAAATCCACCGTTCCTCCAGAGAAGCTCTTAGTCTTTGATGTCAAGGAAGGCAGGGACAGGGGGGAGGTGGCAGTGGTGCCTCCAGCGGCTTGGTTGGTATCGGGAATCCGCGTGCTTCTGTGAGCCTTTGAGATGCACAAAAATCTCACATGCCGAAGTTCATGCCAAGGGCCCAGGGCTACCTACTCTCTCTCTCTCTCTCTTTTTTTCCCTATGCATTTCTATATGGAGGATGATGGAAACACCTGCCGACCGGCGCGCTTGGTCCAACCAGAGCACCCCACGACCGGTGCCGAAGCACCGCGCCGCTCTTGGGCCCACACGACCCCGTGCCACGCCGCGCCCCGTGAGGTTGGGAGCCATTGTGCAAGTTCTTGGGCGTGCCGGTTCCGGACGAGCCCTTCCCAAACGTCAATGACCGTGAAGAGATCAAGAAGGATATGAATAAGGTCCTGAGCCCCTGCCTTTGCTTCAGAAATGGTTGAAAGTTGAAAGCCTGTCATAAGGAGACCATCCTCAATAGGCGGGAGGGAAGCAACACTTTTGCATGGGGAAAGGCTAAAGGCATCCGCGCACAACTGCAGGCGGCACCCTCATAGGTCGTTTCTTCGGGTTTTGGCTATCGAAGTTCCTTCAAAATTTGACATGCTCGCCCATCGCTGTTCTATCCGAGGGTCTATTGCTACATTGCACAAGCTGTGCGGGCCATTGCTGTGATTGGTGGGCTTGGCATTCTCTACTGGCTGGGGAAAATCCTCCTGTGAAGCTGCAGAGTGACTGCGGAGCCGACCCTGGGTGGAGGAACGCTAATGAAAAGTATATATCTCAGTGTAGGTTGGGCCTGCTTCCTTTGAGCTAACTACGCTTCTTGACCCTTCTTGAGGAGAAAAAGCACCCAGACTGTGACCCTCTATTAGTTTGGCCCCCTATACAAGAACCCCCTATTTTTTTGACCCGGTTTCCCAAAAAACATCTTGCCAATTTGCCTAGATTTGGTACCCAATCACCCCCTCAATTAGTTTGGCACACCTTCTTCGGCAAAAAGGCACCCTTCCAGCAATCTTTGTTGTAATTGGTTGGACCTCTCCTCATGAAGAGGTTCAGTCACTTAGCCTTTTTGCATTGCGTTGGCGGTCACTAAGATAGCCCACCGGCCGGCGACCCGGCCGACCGGCCGGCGACGTCGAGATCGTAGGTCGTAGGTCGAGCCGAGCATCGCCGGTCCGGCCAGTCGAGGCCTGACCCGGTCGCGAGACAAAAAGGCTGAGAGTTGCTGCAACGAATGGCCTGTTGGAGGATGAACGTGGTAGACGTTCAAGAGTCCGAAGACGTTCAAGAGTCAGAAGGGTGATGGTGTAAACATAAAAAATCGATGCATCAACATGCACAAAAAACATCTGGAAAAGATGTGAGAAGAGGGAATGCACATCAGACTATGTTGATTAACATGGGCAACATGCACGGAGTGTTTGTTGAAACACACTGGCAAGTACACTCGACTGAGACCAAGCCGCTACAGTGTTCAACGGAGTTTTACGTTTGTGTCAAATGGATTCAATTGGCTTGTTACACCTCGATATCCACGCGAATACTTGTACTTTCCCCTCATGCCATTGGTTACGAAGCCTTCTGCGATTCATTGGAGCATGTGACAAATATAATTGTGTTCGAACCACAATTCCGCTCTACGGACTCTAGTAGGATGTTTAGCATGCTTTCATATGCTTTCATCATGTTTATCTACTGCAGATGGATGACCACTCTTCAAACGCAGCACCTGCAATCTATTGTTCATTTGCTCCTTCCAATCCCCAACAATTCTGAGCTGTTTGCCGAAGGCATCCGAGTTTTGGATCTCAGAGTGCGGGAGGTTTCAAAGGCCCAGGTCCTTCCTGCGGCACGTTTCGATGCCGAACGTGCCACAAACGTGCTAGTGCCTCGCGCGCGACGAACTCAGAAGTCTCATACTGTAACTATGAACAAGTTCCAAGAAGGGGTAGCAGTGCAAAACTAAGACGGTAACCACACCCACTGGGTCTTGATGTGGTGTTGGTGAGGGAAGAACAAGAACTAGAAAGAGATCTGAAAGGTGAAGGAGAGCTATTGGTGTCGCAGTAACAGTCGGTAAAGGAAGATCGCCGCTATTGTTGGGAAAGAGCATCCACTGTTACTGGTCATGGGATGTGGAGCTTCATATGGCCATAGATGCTTGCACGCATCCTATTCAAGACGATGGGGCTGGCATGCATCCTATCCCAACAATATCCCAAAACCATCAAGAGCATTCAAGAGCCATGTTTTTATAAGTCATATCTGACAGGTTTTGTTTTTGGTATAGTTTGTTGGTGCAGACCCTTCTTTTCAGTGGCTGGATGTTTCCAGACTCCGCCCAGGTGATTGCGGCTTCCGGCACCGCCGCAGCAGCGTGTGGCATCAGCGAGTCTGGCGTTCGTTTCTTTCGCTCGGTTGCGCGACAGGCCTGGCGACATGCGCAGGCGCGAGTGCGTTGCGGACATCGCCGAGAGGGCGGGTGTGGCGGAAGGTTTGGGTGGTTTCGGTGGTGTTGATGGGAGAAATCCTCAATAGGCACAGAGCTGAATTTGGAGCAGTTTTTGCCTTCGGCCGTATGATTGAAGTGTTTCACTGGATGAGTCCATGTCGGCCATGTCGTGTAAATAATCACCATAGACCACAGTCACATAATCTCCCCGGAAGATGGGAGGATCCTGAAAGACCTTTTACCCTTTTTCCTGGTGCATGTTTGGGAAGCCTCAAGTTCTCCATGTGACTCCAGTCCAGTGCCTTGATTGATGCAAGTCTGTGATTCCCTTTCCTTTTCAACAAGTGAGCGACTTTGATTGTTTGAGGAGCTGCTGATCACAGATCATTCGTCGACCTCACGAGATGGGCGTGGATCTTGGTGCTTTGATGCCGCGGGGTTGAAGCTTCTGGGCATCATTTTCGCCTGTCAGCAAGCAGAGTGCCTGGAGACGCTTGGTCGTCGAGCAGTTGGGGGGGGTTATTCTTTGGCGAGAGCCGCGGCAGCTCTACAGCTAATGGGAGGCATGGGGGGGCCAGATTGAACAGTATGGAACCAGGGGAGCCGGGAGTCCCGGAGCACACCTAATTCAACGGCGGGTGATGAGCTCACAGAATGGGTCAAAGATGGTCAAAGCATGTCAAAGCAAAGTTCCATCATGTTCCATCCAATTCCGGAGGACCTGGTTCTACAGCACCTTACGTCGACTCTTTAGTACCGCCGCTGGGCGGTTGGACTCAGAGCTTCCTCTTGCAGCACCTGCAGACGTCACAGAAGGTGCGGCTTCCCCTTCCGCTCAGCTCGTTGCAGATGGCCAAGACCACGAAGCTTGCCAAAGCGGAAGCGTCAAGGTCATGGCTCCTTTTGAGATCTTTCCCACAGAGGTGAGAAACCTCTTTCTTTGGCACGTGGTCATCAGTGATTCCCTACGTCGGCTTCCAACCACCATGAATTGAATAGGCTTTACCGAATCTACTAAGGAGTTTACACTACAAAAACCAGGTCAACATATAGGTCAACCATTTTGGAAATGGTCTTGGAAGTCTAGGGATTGGCGATCATGACTCTTCGACTTCGGTCGATCCGGTCGCAGCCGCCACATATATAGCTGATGCAGCGCTCCGTCCGCGAAGGACGTTGCTGAGTAGAGAGGATGAGAGATAGACAGTGGATCCCAAGCACCGGAAACCCTTCTAGGATGAAAGTCTTTCATGTTGTTAAACCACTGTTGGAGCTTCCTGAGGCGGTCTTCTACAAGCCTCCGGGCTGGGAAGTCTATGGTGGTCACAACCAGCTGCAGCTCGTCGACGCGGCCCAGCGCCTCTTTGGCCGGCGCCGGCTCTTCGAGGACGTGGGGCATCACCACGGCTTTTTGTACCGCGGCAGTGGTGATCCCAACTGAGGTTGAAGAACCCTATACTGGTCGCCTATCCCAGTTGGCTACTGCAGGTGACGGGTCCGAACGTTCACGGAAAACCCACCTCTCTTGGGATGAAGGGCGTCCCGGTGGTCCCGGTGGTCGGAGTTCGCTAGTCTTCACCTGACAGACCTGGAGCGTCGCATGGGTGTCCTGGCTGGAGATGTCCGTTTAGGGATGTTTAGGGTAGTCGAGACAGTACGCCACTAGAATCGATTATTGTAAGGGCTTCGCCCGGGTGCCGCCGACCCCTTTTCAAGAGGAGGTGCTGACCGTAGCACTTCCTGTGGACGGCCGCAGGTCTATCTGCG